ACAAACCCTTAAAGGAGAAAAAGGTTTAGCCATTCACTTGAGCGTTGTGTTTAAGGCAAATTCTCCAGCCAAACTGGAGCTGGGCCTGCAGTACTGTAGGTTCCAAACTGGAGCCGCCTTGGGTTTTTTCAAGTGCTAGTCTAAAGACACTTTTGTGTTGCTGTTGCTTTAAGCTGGTTCAGCTGTGGTTAAAGTAGTTCTTAGAATCATTCAGTATTGTTGTCTAAAGCAATATTGCCTATTTGGTGAGATTTTGTTTATTTTTTACAATTATACAGCACTATATAGTTGTATCAATGGTAAAAAATATGCAGGCCAAGCCTTGGATTGCCATCTCTGCTAACTGAAAGTACAAACTGGAAATGTCTATGCTGAAAAGAGGGTAAGCATCAGAAGTGGCTTCAGTCTTGGCCTTGAAGAACCTAGGCAGTTACAGTGAATTCTAGTGTCCTTTTCAGTGTTAGAAGATTCTTGTTGTTCCTGATGGCAGATTGCCTTGTCTCTTTGCAGTCCTGCTGCTGCTAGGAAGTTTGTTGAGGAAGGAATTAAGACTTTAGAAGGTAAGTGTAACTTTGGGTCCTCAGTTCACACTCCAGTAATGTTGTTTTCTGTCAAGTTGTCTGTTCCACAGTGGTACTGTGATAGCAGATATGCCCTGGGCTTTGAGGAAAATGTGTAAGATGCTAAAGTTAGTGCACAGGCTAAAGGCATTACATACATATCTAAATTAAAGTACTTGGAGATTACATGGAAAATCACAAGGATTTTGGCTTTGAGGTGAATGGTCTATTGAAGTCTTTACTGGGAAGTGCCCTATGCTTTTGTACTTGTCCTATCAGCTGTTGAGGGTCAGTGTAAAATCTCTTGCTTTGTGTTTGAGGTTGCTGTTTTCTTGTTATGTATTCCTTGCGTGCATCATCTTTGCATTGGTGGAAACTTTACTGTAAGATTTTTAGTCCTCAAGTAACTTTGTTTTTCTTAATTCTTCTAGATCTAAGAAAAAATGAGCACAAGCTGACCCATCACCAGCGAATTGGGTTGAAGTAAGCTTTCTTGGGTGCCAGTGCTTGGCTTTTCTAATAACTCCTTCAGACACCAGGATGTAATGTAAGGTTACGCAGGCCAAATAAGGTTCTCTTCTCTCTGCGTGCTCTACATGCTTTTCAGCAGTTATTCTAAGCTTTTGTTTCATTGGAGTTGAAATGCAGTAGGCTTAGTCTCCATCCAGAAGGAAATTAATTTAAAATAACTTTTTTTTCAGTTAGCTCTTGGAGAATCACTTTAGCAAGCTTGCAGTGCTATTTTTTGCTACGTGCTGTGAGCAAGGGAAAACCTTTGCATATCTGAACTTGAGAATGCCATGCAGAATGCGTGTCTGTCCCTTAGTACTTACCAGCTTGAATGCTGCTTGCTGAATGGCTGTTCCAGTGCATTAGTTCTGTCTGCAGAGCTTGGGATTGGGATGGTTGGGTAATGAGTGTCAGGGAACATGTGGCTCTAAGGGCTGCTGGAGGGGTGAACAATGTGCCTGCTGGTCAGGTGTGTCATTGTATCACCTGACCTCTTCTCCACAGTCAAGCAGCATGCTGGCAGTCTTGTTTTTTACAGCTGCATGCAAAGATATCAGGAGCTATATTTGACTTGTGAGCTTCCATTTAGCTCTTTCCAATGTAGATCACCTCTGACCATGGCCAAGGGACCTGTTCTCCTGCTTGCTGGTGGACTGAGTTTTGTCAGGAACCTTTTGTATTTTCAGAGGGCTCTGTATATATATACCAATTGGTTATATGGTAATATTACTCTCACCTCACAGCAGTTCTTCATATACGGTGGAAATAATATGCAATGAAACCATCTTCTAAGCATTGTTAAGCTTGTAGTGAGTTTTTACCATTGTTTGGCAAGATGCTTTCTAAGACGTTTGAGGAGTTTTTTGTGATGTGACAGTAATGTAAGTTGTATTCTTTCCTCTGATATACATATAATTGAATGAAATTGTAAGATACTACCCTTGCTACCCTTTCAGATGCTTTTATTTTTATATATGCAGATATTTTGAAGATTTTGAGAAAAGAATCCCGAGGGAAGAAATGCTGCAAATGCAGGTAAGAATGTCTTTATTGAGGATGTGAGGCACCGATGGCCAGTGAATGACTGACACCCCTAAACACACATCTTTCCTTTTTACATAGGAAATTGTGCTGAAAGAGGTAAAGAAGCTGGACCCAAGCTATATTGCTACAGTCTGTGGCAGTTTTAGAAGAGGTTGGCACTCTGTGATCTTACTATGTTTATTTTGGGCTAAGCAAGACTCATTACTATGTATGTTGTTGTTCTAGAGAGAAAGTCTGTGCTGGAACCTGGCTTTTTCCTGTCAGTATTGTCTTGACTGGTTAGTTGGGTGATGAAGCACCCACATAAATCCTTCCTTTTCCACCCTGCCCCCAAAAAGAGTAGTATATTGTAACATGTGAATTGTTTGCTTTGTTTTCACATCAACAACATTTGTGCTTCACTGCTATAGAGTACAGCAAGAAATTCTTGGGTATTTTCTGAGACATGCAGGGATATAAACTTTTTGATGGAAGAACAAGGTTCTCTAAGATCATTTTTTTGCACATATCTTGAATAGTGACTGACTTTTCTACAAGAAAAACATGTTTATAGGAAGAGGTTAGATGGATGTTCACCAATGTTAGTATACTTTTTCATACACAGACTGATTTTGCTTTGCTTCTTACTTGCCTAGGCGCAGAGTCAAGTGGCGATATGGATGTTCTCCTGACCCATCCGAGTTTCACATCTGAATCATCCAAACAGGTGTGTTTCTCTGCTGCTGTGGATCGGCAGCGTGTGTGTTACTTTCAGAAGGGTATGTTTAAATTCAGAAGATATGTAGTCTCAGACTTGAATTGCAGCTTCGTGCATCTTTTCATTACTGTAATAGTAAACTCCTCTTGGATCACCATGTTTATTTTGAGGAGTTATAATCACTTCTTACATCTGTGTATTATGTTGCGTTCCTCTCGAAGAACTATTCAGTATGTTTACTCTTACCCTTCTCTCCCTCCTCTTCACACACACCCACCCCACCCCCTCGAGTTCATCTGCTTTTACGACATAGAACTGTAACAGCTAGCTGGATAAAGCAGGGATTAAAGGTAGAGTAAGTATCTTTATTGTAGCCATAATTTTTTGGATGAGAAGGAAATGTCCTGTTGGCCTTGTAATCTTTTGGGACTAAATCTGGAGAAGTTTTAAGGACAGTTTGTATGTCTTGTGTTGCTTCTATAGATTTATTTCCTACAAGTTGAAAATTCAAACAAAGAAATGAGTTTTGTCACTTCCAATGAAAGCAAGCTAACATGGGGATTTTGGTGATTTTTTTTTTTTATGTTGCATAACTGTAATTTTATTAGCTTTTGCTTCAGTATTGTTATCTTTTTTTCCCCTCCGGGTCAAACTGCATGTACAATAATACACACCATTATAGTGATGTTCTCTACTTATCTGAGCTATTGTCTGGTAAACTGGTAAGATATTCTTGTTATTTGAGAAATAATTTCTTCTGTGTTGTCGCTGTTCCTAGTCAAAACTTCTGCGTCAAGTTGTAGAACAACTGGAAAAGGTCCACTTTGTCACAGATGTGCTGTCTAAAGGTGACACCAAATTCATGGTAAGGCTTTTTTGCTGGTGAGGGATGTTGGAGGGGATTACCTTTCCTGACAAAAGCTAAGATATATACAAGATACGTTGTTTGGACTGCTGGAGTTGTGATTTCTTTTTTAACTTTTTTTTTTAATTCCCCTCTTCCCCCCCATAAAAACTTTCTGCAGTTAACTCCTAGTGACTCTCTCATGGTAAGATTTCAGTATTAGAAAATCTACAGGTATTTATGTAGTTATGAACTCCGCTGATATAACCTTCATCACACAATGCAAACTGTTTCTCTGTTTTGCTTGATGTTTTCCCCAGAACCTTAGCACAACCTCATTCCTTCCAGTGGTCACACCAGTGACTGCTTTTGTAACTCTGTCCTCAAGATCTTGGAAACGCTATCTTTGATCTTGGACCTATGTTTACCTTGTTTTGTGTAATACATAATGTACTTTTGTCTCCTTTTTTTGTCAATTTTGTTGCAGAGCAGATTTAATGGATAAGCTGCCAGACTCAGGATATAATAGGGAATATATGGAGTGCCTAAAGAAAGTAATGAATTACAGGAACATTCATTTTGTTAGGTCCCTTGCTCACAGCAAAACTTTTTTTTTCTTAAACATGTGGACTGGGTGTTATCTTGCTTCGCTTAGTTTTCTTTACAGGACCCAGGTATCCTGGTCTTACAGACTGGTTAAAAGTTACTTCTAACAGAGAAGTGTAGAACCATAAGCAATACTGAGTGGAAATAAGGACTGGTTAGTTGCTGTCAGTCACTCATACTGGCTTTATGGAATTCCTTGGAAGCTCAGAGGAGTGGTCCTGCCAGGAAGGTTCACCAAAGGTCTGTGACTTAGGAATTTCTGTTCAAGAATCAAGATACTGTTATGTTATATCCAGCTAATCTTTTGGAAGGCATAAATATGTAATACTACAGGTAAAGATATTTGCTTTCCTAAGATGAAAGGGGCTGTTGGAGCACTAAGTTATTTCATTTTTTTGTTACTTGGTTTGGTTTTACTTAAAATAAGAGCTACAAGAACCTGCGAATTTGTCTTCAGTTTAGTTTGTGTTGTGTCTGAGAGGGAATGAAACTTGATGGCTTTTTTTTTTTTTTGGCTTGATCCTTAGGAGGAATAAGTGAAAGTCACTCTCATTTTTGTGAGTGGTTTAAGTGTGAATACATATGGGCTTAAAGCTAAGTGTGCATCTGTGAGCCAGATGCAGAGACACTGCATTCCCAGTGTGCATTCCCAGTTCAACAAGCTCATTATAGTTTGACCATTTACTCTGTATAATCCTGTCAGTCTTAAATGGTTGTGGAATAGCTCTTGTCTTCAAAGTGGAAGTTAAGAAAGGAATGTTGTGAAAAGGGAAATGGGACTGCAGCTGAGAAACTGAGAAAAGTAAGTCTCAGTAAGGAGACAGACAATGTAACTTCAAAAGCATAAGCAATGCTAAGTTTTCAAAACAAAGCTAAGAACAGAAGTCTCAGCATGAAGCTGCAATTGGTGAAATGGTTTAGTATGTAAACATTTCGCATCATTCCTTATGGTTCATGTCCCTACCCCCTACTGCAGTGTCATTTAAGGTGATCGTAGACTAGAGAAAAAAATGAAAAGGCTGAGATGTCAATTGTGTTAAGATTACAAAGCAGTTTGAAATGAAAGTGGCAGAGGATTTCTCCAGAAAAAACTTTCTTTCTTTAAATTTCTATTAGCTTGAGCTTCATCTGCATTTTCCTTAAGTTGCTGATGTTTGTGCATACTGAAGAGCCTGATAATAGGGCAGAGAAATGGGAAATGAGAAGTCCTGTGATCATTCCTGCTGTAGTAAAAATTAAGCAGTTATACGCTACATTGAGCTCCAGTCCTCTTAGCAGTGTAAAATAGTGATTCGCAGTACTATGGCGTCCACCTGTGCTAGTAAAATACTTAATTGGTTCAGTGGGAATTTAACTTTGCTCTCCAGGATAACTGAGGGTTGTTGAGAGGTTGTTTAGGGGTGGTGAGGTGAAGATGGGTCTCGAATCTGTTTAATTTCATTTTTAATTTCTTGCTTTCCTTACTTCCTCACAGGGTGTCTGTCAGCTGCCAGATAAAGAAGATGGAACAGCCTATCCACATAGGAGAATTGATATTCGGTACATACACCAAACACGCCACCCTGCCCCGCAAAACCTCTACTTTAGCTGTCCACTACATAGCAGGCATTTGCATCAAGTTCTGTTCAAATCTCTACTTCCATGTTCAGAACATGGCATGTACTAGTTTCTAATTCCCTTGCGGTATGGGAAACTGCCAGGGTTACTAGCCAGAATGCTGTAAACCATGACTTTGTATCCAGTTTCAGAATTGTGACCTATTGTATCATACTGCTTTGAGGTTAATTCTTGGCCGGAGTACGAGCACTATAACCATGTAGTAGCTTCAACAGTGGCTTAAACAGACTTTAACCAGTAACTTCTGGGTCAGGATGGATGTGCTGAAGCTTTCTTTGACATGCAGTTCATTTCATTCTTGCATCTGGCTTGTGGGAAAATCAAATGCATAGAGTTGCAGAATATGTGCACGTAAATAGAAAGTAAACTTAGAACGGTGTCTGAATGGCTGAATTTCAAATGGCTTGTAACTCTTTTGTTACATTTGTTCTAAATCTGTACTTTTCCACTTTTATTGTAGGCTTATCCCCAAAGATCAGTATTACTGTGGTGTACTGTATTTCACAGGAAGTGATATATTCAATAAGAACATGAGAACTCATGCTCTGGAAATGGGCTTCACGATCAATGAGTATACAATTCGTCCCTTGGGTGTCACTGGTCAGTCTGGGCCTTTGCACAGAGTATTCCTTCTAGTTACATGCTTTGTGTGATCTTCTTAAATTGGTTTCCTGGTGTACTGGAAATACTTCTGATAAATACTGTAGTTAATGAAATTTTTCACAGTGTCCTTTCTGGTATCGGACACCATTATAGCAAGAAGAGGCAGCCTACTTATGTATAGGTAGCGCTGTGGCACAAAGTTACCTCTGTGGGCCACCTAATCTAATTAAAGTCTTACTGACCTGAAGTTTGTTTTTTCAGTGTCATGCACAGCACATACGTGGTTTCTCATTCTTTTAACAAGATAAGTCATGTCCTTCAGTTTTTTTGTTTTGGAGGGAGGGGGTGACTATAGGTAGATATACACATGAATATAAATGCATGGCCCCAAAATTAATTAATTACCTTACTTCCTTTGACACTAATGAAAATCAGTACCTAAACACTGTATGAAAAGGTCGGGGGGGTGGGGTGGGGGGGTGTGTTTCGGTTTGGTTTTTTAAGTCTGTTTTTCTTACGGCAGTTTTGTCTTAATCTTGCCATGCATTTGGCATTTCAGGATCATACAGACTTTCCACCTTTCAAATAGCATCTATAATTTGTTTGCAGGAGTTGCTGGGGAGGCCCTACCAGTAGAATGTGAAAAAGACATCTTTGACTATATCCAGTGGAAATATCGAGAGCCAAAGGATCGGAGTGAATAACTGCTTCTCTAGGTTTGTAACCTAGAGATATGTTTTCATATCTTCTTATGAACATACGAAGTGCATATAATTTCTTTGGATGTTATTGCAACAAGCGTACATTACTGATGTTTAAAGCAAGTCCATGGCACTAGCACAGAAAGTGTAGTGAAGATTAAATCCTGTAAGATCTCATTTTGTTGTCCCTCCCTCTCCCTGCCCCCTTCCTTAAAGCTGATTAAAACATTTATTGGGTTTAACTGAATGGGCTTTGATACTACAGAATCCTGTGGGGAAGGTGGTATGGCAGTCAGACCCCTTAGAGAATGCATATTGTCTTTTGCTTTGGGATTTAATAAAAAACTATCAGGAAAATCACAGGTTTCTATTTAACCCCTGAGGAGCAGAAAGTTCTGAAGTAAACGCAAAATGGTTCATCATATTAAATTTCTCGTGGCTTGCTTGGAAGATGATGGCTGTCTATCAAAATTAGTGCTGGTTCTTTGGGGTCACTGGAAAGTCCTACAAAACAATATTAGCCTTTTATAAAAGGCTATGTGCTTTGATTTGATAATACTTGTGGTGATCAAGGCTTTTTCCTAATAATTTTAGTAGCCCTTAGGCTGTGATCGTTGTTAGAAAAGTCTGGATATTTCAGACTGAACACACCTCCTTAGCTTGTTTCTTGTAGTTTTGCAAAAGACAATCAGAGTTCTGATGCTTCCATGTTTTAATATCATATACACAGACGTAGTCTCTGAAAACATTACTGTCTGTTCAATGTCTAAAAACTGGGCAGTTCTTGGAGGAAATAATGTAATTTTTTTGCTGTTTACTTTGTTGAGGTTGAAAGACTTGGAAGTGAAACTATTGCTTTTGTGTGGTTGTTGGAAATTGTCTCATCAAGTACTATGCATGACTTATTTTTTAAATTTTTTTTTGAATGCAGTTTGAGTGATTATGTCTGTAGAGCATCTTGGAATGCTCAAATGCAGGTTTTGCTAATAGAAGCTGCTGGAATAAATTGCTTGAGTATATGTAATCTGACAGCATCTGTGTGTAGCAGTAGGCACTTTATAACCATAGATCAGATTTGGTCATGGCAGTGAATTAGTACTGGCGTTGCACAATTAAGAAAACTTAATAGCTCTAAAACTTCAGTATGAGACTGGTTTGTTTCATATGTATCGAGAGACTAGAAGAATTGTATTAGGAGAGCATTATTCTTACAACACTTAAGTGCCATAATTATTACAAGATTATTCTTACTGCACTTAGATCTCAGACTCTGTATGTCTCTTGTTTCAAATCTGTATTTGAAGGGGAGGGGATGGAAGAAGGCACCTAAAAGTCTGTTTCCCACCCCTGCTGAGTAGATGAAAGAATAAAAAACTTTTAATACTTGTTACACAAAACAATGTCTCGTGTAACCAGTCAGCAAACATGTTGAGGCAGGCTTTTTGGAACGTAGAAATCAGGCCAAAAAGAGACTGCCCATGTGCTTAGTTGCACAGCTAACTCCTCCAATATTTTTTGCTTAAAAATACATTGCTGGAACACTTAAGACTAGTGAGAAACATGAAAGGCAGAAATGTCTTGAAGTTGCACCTTGGCACATAGTTATAGAATGCAAAGTCATCATTGCTGGTGCTATTGAAATGCTACACTTTTATGTGATTACAGAAGAATGAACGTGACACACAAGCTAGAGATAACTAACGATTTTCTGTAGGACTTCAAAATTGAACAAGGATGTTATATTCAAGCTCTGCAGTAACTGGAGCAAGTAGAAAAAGGAAATGGGGTACATGTCTTTGGAATACCCTTTCCGGTCTTGAAGTGGAATTTTTAAACCATTATTCATGTCTCTGTTGGCTGCTGTCAAAAACCTCCAATAACGGAGAACCTGAGATCTGCTGGGCCAGTTGCTTTCTTTGAAGCATTGTTAAACATTACAGGTTATTTCGACTCTACGTGGAAATGTTTGAGACATCTAGATTTTAAGATACTCTTTTGAGCTTTTAAAGAAACTAATCTTCACTTAATTTGCTTGCCTAGGGAGAAAGGAAGGGAATCTCCTAGCACTGGGTCAGCCTATTGGACACGCTATTGCTCATCATGCAGGGTTATGCACTGAAATAAATGTAAGGTGTTTAGGTGCTTATGTGTTGCAGGCTGATGTTAGCTCGTGGAATAGGGAAGTTTGTGGCACAGTGCACAAATAACTAGATTAAAATGGACATCCCTTTATACTGCTTTGCATTACTAATATCTCTTAGTCTTTTGGCAGGTGCTCAGGTGTGATCATTGTGCTGCTCTACTGACTAGTGTTTGACAAGATGAACTGAAGCCACGGTCACAGTGCTGAAAAAACTCTGGATGTTGAGCAATGTTGCTGAGAACTAATTGGCTTGCAGATTCTGGTCTGGTGATGATGCGTGCAGTAAAGCCTAGAAGTACAGCCTGAGGTGCAAAGGCAGCTTTCACCCTCTTGACCTATGATAAGCAGCATGTGATCTGCCCTTCCGTCCTTTCCTCAGCCACTCTATCTTGTCCACTGATTCCTCCTCGCTGCTCTCCCTGTGACAAATCAAGGTTAACATGCCCTGGCTGTGGATTAGTGACCTTCCCCAGCTTCATTCTGGCTTTCTCCTTTTATCCAGCCCCAGATGTCCTACTGAAATGATTTAAGACATTCAGAAGAAATCGTAAGGTTTCCATGCTTTCCTGTATAAGGAACACAGAACATTACATAGTCGTGCATGCTGAAGTGTGGTTTATTTTGGACAAGAGCCTTCCCTTGCCAGTTCTGAACAAATTCGTATCCCCTTTGTGGATATTTCTCTTAGCCAGAAACTAATCCTTGTTTACTGGCTAAGCATCTATTACAGGTTTAGTGAGGTACACAGAGATTTTGTAAATGCGTGGAAATTCTTGATAAAAGGATTATTTTCTGCCTCCTCTGCACTAGCTGTGCTGCAGTTTGCTGTTTTAAAGTGGTATACTTTTCTTGTACTAAATAATGTCTTCCCTATAGAGTTTGTCCAGCTGGAACTGGCTGGGAGAACTGCTGTTGTGGCTTTTAAAACCACAAGGATGTGCGCCTGTGTAGAGCTTGTTCTTACACAATTGCCTGTCTTTGTTCTCTGTGTCTTTGAACTCCTTTGAAGTTCTCCAGAATAGCTTTTCTATATATCCATTTCTCCAGTTGGGTAAGCAGGTTCATGAGTGCTTGCAGTTTTTACTTTGCGCCTAACTCTTAGTGTAATGAGCTTTAGGAGTGGTAAGCAATGCAGATGACCGTTTGCAATTGTTGGGAGCTCCTGAGAGCTTTGTGTTGCCCAAAGATGGTGATAGCAGAAAGCCTTCAATTTCTTTCTTTTCATCTAAGAACACTACTATGCACATTAACTAGATTACTGTTGTAAGAATTGTGCAGTTACCCCATTCCTCATAACTGAGTCTAAAACAAATGAATGTTGCCATTGTGTGTGACATAATGGGAGATTATGTTTGTAGACATAGGCATTTGCCAGGATGGACCTTGCTTTTATTTACAAAGTAAAGGAACCACCAACACAGAGCAGCACTGTGGGTGCACCTCTGAGGCTAATTTAGTGTCAGAGGAGGCAGCTGACAGTGAATAGCCACATGTTTGAAATATGCTGTGAAAGGAAGAGGAGAAATGACACTGTGTTTCCCTAGAGAGGACAGACTGTACAGGCTCTGAACAGTGTTGATACTTTGCCTTGTGGTGCATTTGTCCTGGTACCTTGAAAGAAAAAACAACCTGTGTTTCTTTTTCTCCTGATATTCTTAAACATACAGAGATTTATACCTGCATAAATTTTTAAAGACAGAAAGATCCATTCTTGATGAAGGTGACAGATCCTATTGTTTTATGTAAATGTTACCTTTTTTTTTTTTTTGACATCAAGCCTTGATTCAAAAATGTCGTGATGAAGAATAAGCAAAGTCTCTGGGTTTTAGCACTTTTTTCAAACCACACCACCCCCCTGCCCAAAAAAAAAAAAAAACCAACCAAAAAACCAAAAAAACACAACAAAAAAACTAAACAAAACAACCCAAAACCAACCCAAACCTACAAAAAAACCCCAGCCACCCAATTATATAAAGTTGTGTAATGTAGGCTTTTAACAGATAACTGTTTAATCTAGCAGCAACAATTCTGCTTCTGACAGACTGCACCTCTTCTCTCTGTTAACCAGCCTTCTCCTGATTAAGGGATTGACATTTTGAACTGATGTAGGCATTTCCCCACTCAGCTGCGTATTGGTCTGCTAGATCATTCTTCTGATCTGTTTCTATGTATGTGTAGACACAAGACTGAGGAAGCTGGCTGTGTCCTGAAGTACTCCTAAAGAATACCATTTTCAACTACTATCTGTATCTCCTTATCTCTGTGTTAAGTGTCCTAGTGCAGTGCTGAAGCTCATGCTAAGCTGTTTCTGTGTCCTTCTAAAACCTTTCAATATGGCCATATGCTAATGTGACCATTCTCGTGTTGCATGTGACCCGTGTTCTTTGTTCCTAGATATGTTGTAGCACTATCGATTGCAGTGTTCTGTATTTAGTTCAACTTGCTGTTACCCAGAAGACCGGTCTGATTAACTGATGCATTTCAGCCACTCCCTATAGAGTCAATCTGCTCTTTTTTATATGCAAACCTGTCAGCTCTGATTTTATAGCTCCTCTTAAATCATTGTGAAAGCTAATAACTATTTTGGATGTGAGAGAAGATCCCATCAAGATTTCATTACTAGTTGTATTTGGGACAGGGATTCTGTTGGTTAGCTTAAAACTTAACTAGTTAGTGAACTAACTTGGACGTATTATAGAGCAGCAGCATGGAATGCATTGCTGATACTGTATTTGAATACCTTGTAGGAGTATAAGGCAAATGTATTACAGAATTGCAAGCTTGAAAAGGCAAGACTATTTTATACATAGTCAAATTGACTATTGCTAATTATATAACATTTTTCCTGATCTGTTAATGATGAGGTCGTCTGTCTGCCTTTATGGGGACAGAGAGGAGTTTGCATCCGTATTGTCAGACTACTTAACCTGACTTGAATCGTAAGACAAAGACAGGAGTAATACTGTTTCTTATTTTTATCTGACTTAGGCCTGCTACAGAACTACTACATTTTTTTTTACTTGTTCTTATATAATTAGCAT